CTGTCCATACAAGTGGCTGAAACACATCGTCGACCACCTCGGAAAAAACTTCACCATGAATTAAAAGCTTTAATTTTTTCTCAAACATTAACGACAAAAAGAAACTTCTGGACGGCGGAATCGTACGTTCTCCTTCGCCGTTAGCGGTCTTTATCAGACGGTAATTGTCGTAGTCATCAGCAACCCCAGCAAAAATACCTAAATAGGCGGTCATCACATTTCCTATTTGGGTATAACAGGTCACATGCTCTCTTGCAAACCTAAACATGTTAGGTTTGCAAAATCCCACATTCTTATTGTCTAGCTTTGCAAAACATTGTAAAGCTGACATGTTTAGCTTCGCAAAATTCCATTTTTCGAGATTTAGGTTGACAAGCACTTTCTACGATGCAGCGCTTTCTAGGTGTTCCAACTTAGGTTTGAATCCGCCGGGCAAATTCCACTTGGTGCCACATAGGGGCTCGCCTGCTTAAACCACGTGACGGTCGTGTCCACACGCTCACCGCGTCAAAGTAACCCAGACACCATGTCACTCTTTACATCCGCCCTCCCAACATTTCCCCCACCATGATGTAAAGAGGCACGCCCTGATTGTTCGAAAGATGAACCTTTACGCTCATGAGCCTCAACCAGTGGGCAAACAGTGTGACTCGAGGAAGCTCGGGATACGCGCTGTACACAGCCTCCCTTTTGCTTCTCCTAAAGAATATACCAAACTGCATCAGCACATACATTTCCCACGTCACACGCACCCTTGGAGGGTCTCTCCGTCTTTCAACCCCAAGTATTGACCGGCTTTGCACATCTCGGGCTTCTTGATACACAAAAACAACCATCGCTCGATTCTCCAGTTGGGCATCCAGATACCCATCAGTGAAAAAATACTCCGTTTGCCATGGGAGCTTTATATGCTTTCTGCGCTCTCTCATGATTGTCACAGGCTCACCTTGTAGTGCACTCCACATCTCCTCGCATGTCACCTGGCTATCGGCGTTGAAGAACGCAAGAATGTCCATCTTTTGATCCGCCAACTTCTCCCACATCTTGTTGTAGCTTCTTTTGATTCCCACATCCATCATCCTCTCGGTGACACTCCTTTTGATTTCGATTCTCCTTTGGAGTAGCCCATGGTAGTTTTTATACACTTCGCGGTACCGGCCTAACCATGTACTTCGCTCCACCGCGAACCGCACCAGATACGCGCACACCCCATACTCGGCACATGTCTCGAGCTCTTCTCGGTACTCCGTGGGTGGTATCAACGCTTCAGAGAACGCCAAAGCTTCCTGTGCCATTGCTCGCAGAGCCTGCTCGCCCTTTGCTGGTCTATCGCTCCAGCACATGCTACTCTCACGCTTTTCTAGACAGTGAATACACTGTTCCGGGCCTTGCGCACATAGAGCTACGAGACCAAAGTATCTCTCGTCTACGCCGTATAGCGTCATATGCATATGCTCTTGGCCTTCGAGTCCAAGAAACTGAAACACAGTCTTCATGCCTTGGAAAGCACTTTGTAATAGCTGTCGTTTTGTTGCGGCCAGAGGAGGGT